TGTGATAATGTGGAAGCATAGCAAAGGCATCCAAAAATTCTAAGGTAGGAATAGGTAGGCATGGACTGGAATAACACTTCAAATGGTGATCTGTTTTGCAGCAATGGTGTGGGAGTTCTGTTTATCAAGTATGTGGCTGTAAGGATGAATTCATACTAATAAAATAGAGGAAGACCTAACTGATATTTCAAGGTTCTTGTAACATTCATCAAATGTTGATATTTCTTTTCAACTATGCCATTTTGTTGAGGAGTCTCAGCACAACTTCTTAGATTTTCTTGGACCACACATCTTAATAAATTACCAAGACTACGGTTAATCACTTCCGCTTGACAATCGGTCTACCGGTAATAGGTAGTAGAAAATTTCTATTTAGTACCAAACTTTTGCCACAACGTTATCTAAAAGTGACTAGTGAAACGAACATCCCTATCTGACACAATGGTTTTAGGAAGACTATACAATTTGACAATTTCATTGCAGTACAACGTGACAACCTTGTACGTATATGAGGTTTTGCTACAAGGGATAAAAAGAGTCATTTTTGAGAAACGATTGGCTATCACAAAAATAGAATCATGCTTCTTTAGGGTACTTGAAAGTCCTAGCACAAAATTCATACTCACATCTTCCCAAGGGCAATCAGGAAAGAGAAGATGTGTGTATAGACTAGTGTTTTGCCTCTTTTTTTTGGCCAACTGATATGTGTTACATGTACTAAATATCTTAGCTACATCTTTATTCAAACTAGGCCAAGGACTAAGCTCCCCAAATGAATTTTCCACACTATGAAGTCGGGCATAATTTATTGGCTCTAAATAGGTAACCCTCCCCAAGGCCAAAATCATCCCCAGTATCCGACAATCCACTTTGGAAATCAAGAAAGATATCCTTAAAATCGGGATAGGTTTCGTACCCTTTCTTAAGTCTTTCAAAACCTATGACTTTGACGTTCATGATGGAGAGAAGGGAGATACGACGACTTAATGCATCAATCGCTTGGTTCTCAACACCCTTCTTTTGTTCAAAACAAAAGAATAGGCCTACAAATATTCAATCCAATGACCCGAATAAAGAACAAACTCTTGGGACAACAAATAATGGTGCCAATAGCGCAAAGCCTCTACAACTGCATACCAAATTTGATGCAAGACCAATTAAAACAACCAAGGGAGAATGAGAAACAAGCTACAGAGAAGAGGAAATTAGAGAAAGAAATGGCAGAAGAAGAACACAACAGAAGGAGGAGAAGAAGAATAGGGAAATTTTGGCGACAAACCACAATTTATTTATTTCAATCATGAACTATCTTTTATTTTCCATTCAACACCATATAAATATCCAAAATAAATAAACCTAAAATAAAGGGTTTGGGCAAACCCATAATACAAGCTCAATAATAGAAAACATAAATAATAAAAATCCATAATATCGATGGATGTCTGCATCATATCATCTCCGCTCATTGGCTAAAGAGGTTAACGAGAAATTAAACCCTCGCTATTTTGGTCCCTTCAAAATTCAACACATACGACCTGTTACATACTGTTTGGAACAGCCTTCCACCACCTCAATTCACCCAGTCTTCTATGTGTCATAACTACGTAAATTTGTTGGGGCTGCAACACCTTGTCCACTTCTGCTGCTATACCTTGACTCTCAGCTGGAATGGATGGTTGAGCCGGACCAAGTCATCAACATAAGGGAGCCTTTAAGGCAACAATAAGCATTGATTCAATAGGGACTCCCATGTTCTGAAGCCTCCTGGGAATCTGTGACAGCTCTGAAACATCAATTCCCTATTTTCAACCTTGAGGACAAGGTTTCTTTGGAACCTCGGGGTATTCATAGGCCACCAATTAAGTTCACATATTCTAGAAGGGCCACGAAGAATGGAGAAGCAGCTGGGCGTAACAAAAATCTATTCGGTGGGTAAGCCAAGTAGTTACAGGTAACTTAAAAATAGTGCAGGAAATGAACGTAGAAGGCAGGCAAAAGTTTGGCAAGTAGTAGTTGCAATAGGAGAGTGATAGCCTCTCGAAAGAGTATTGAGTGTCTTTTTTATTGTTGTAATCATCTTATTTTCATCAATATATTGCTGTTGTTCGATTCTCGTAATTCCGTTTATTCATTTACAACAATATTTTGAAAATCGACCTGGAAAAAGTAAAAGGTGAAAGGTGAAGGGGTTTAATCGGTGTCGAACCGAGATCGAATCGAAAGCAATAAATAAATAAATACACAAAAACAATAAAATACTATGAAATCAATAATTTTTTTAATTTTTCATATTAATAATTCAAAGTAAATATATAATTGTTAATGAGATTCAGTATCAAGTGTAATTTAAGATAAATTTGAAAATTAAATAAATGAAAAGATGGAAGTGTATATTACAATTTTGTTAGTTGAGATTCAAAATCATATATTTGGCTTGGAAAAAGGTTTTGATGAGCATTTTAACTTTTTTTTTGTTATACCACTATCCCACGTTAGAAGTTTATGAAATCACTTGAAAGAAGTAGATCTATAATAACACTATCCAGTTTATGAAATCATTAGAGAAGAGCATCTATAAAAGGAGTATGCCGTCCAAAATTCATCCATGGGCCTTCGATAATTTTAGTGGAAATTACACCTACCCCTACATTTGGAGATCCAATTTCTAAAACCAGATTTTACCTTTTTTTTTTCAAAAATCAGAACTTTTTAAAATAGATACAACTTTATTATATTTAATTAAATATTATAAAAAATAAATTATATAGTATTTGAAACCCTAAATTCCTAATTCATTCTCACCCTCTCGTCTCTCTCTCCACCCTCTCCTCTCGGCAGCAGCGTCCTCTCCCTCCACCTCCCCGTTATCTCCCTCCACCCCCTCCCGTCTTCTCTCTCCCCCCTCCAGCGTACATACCGTGGGGTTGATAAGATAAGGACGGCTGCAGAGGCGTCTATGAGGACGCAGAGTTACAATAGATTTCTTACATTGACGAGCAACCAATGAAGAAGAACGAGAATTTTTGTCATCATAATAGTAATTACTGGCATGAATCGGAGACAAAAGGGGCTTTGTGTTGAATATAACTGACGTGGTTTGCATAATTTAGTAATATAGGTTAACTGATCTTCCCAGATTGATTAGGGTTTATGAGAAGGGGACGACTAACTTGGAAAGAATAAAGAGGGCTAAAAGGAATGAAAAATCGGGTCTTGTGTTATAACCGTGAGTTGAAATGAGAGGGTTGTGGTGTGGGAGGCGTGGCCGGCGTTAGTGGTGGCGGTTTAGCCAACTCGGCGCGACATAGATTTTTTTGGCAAGGCACAAAAAATTTGTCTTACTTTAGGGCGTGTTTGGCTGGTTTGAAATGAAGCAGTCACACAAGGTGTGTGGACGAAAAATCACGTGTTGTGACCTGTGACCTAGGTTGTGATCTAGACTGTGACCTGTGACTTGGGTTGTGACCTGGACTGTGACCTGTGACTTGGGTTGTGACCTGGACTGTGACCGTACAAAAATTGATGTCATCGGAATAGTCGTCGGAATCAGAGCAGTCGCCGGAATCGGAGTAGTCGCCGGAGAAGTCGCCGGAATCGGAGTGGTTGCCGGAGAAGTCGTCGGAATCGGAGACGTCGCCGGAGTGGTCGTCGGAGCAGTCGCCGGCGTGGTGGGGTGGTGGTGGTGGGGGTGGGTTAATTTTATATATATATTTATTTATTTAATTATTTATATCTTTTTATATATTTAAATAAATAAATAAATATTTATAAATATGTGTATATATAGGTCAAAAAAACTGATTTTTGAAATGTAAAAGTTGTTTTGTTATTTTTGAAATAGGGTAAAGATAAAGTAGGGAAAGTGAATTTTTCCCATAATTTTAGGGTATGAGGCCCATTAAAAAAAAAAGTTAAAAAATCTTAAATTATAAATTAGTAAAACCTCCTCCAGATCACCGGTTCATGGTTAAACCGACCGGTTCGATAGGTTTTGAGCGATTTTTGTGTTAGTTGGTTAACCTGGCATGATTGACGCGGTTTTGGATCTGGTTCCTGATTCGACCAGTTGAACCGGCCGTGTTGGGTTAGTTTTCATAACATTGATTTCTAGTTGATGCTTATCACAAAATAGTCCCTAAACTTTTAGATTGAGACAAGTTAGTCCTTTAAGTTTCTATTTGTGGCAAAATGATCATTAACCTTCAGATTCTCGCATTTTACCCCCTTTTCACATTTTCATTGTTCCATCGACCTCTTTCTCCATCATACCAATTCGTGGTGACTGCTATTTTCTTGGGTGTTGTTTTTTATCCGAATTGTTTCTAAGGTGTTTGATTGAGCTTTTTTTTTTTTTTTTTTNTTTTTTTTTTTTTTTTTTTGTGTATTATTGAAGTTTCAAATCCTAAATTGCTACATACGAGAATTCTTGTCACCAACATTGTTAGGCCGTTTATACTCTATTGTTGGGTCTTCTATTACCTCTAATTTTTTTATGCTTCTCATATTAAATTTATTGTCACAACCCTTCGACTGCCTTCTTAGGGCTATGCAACCTTTTATCTTGGTCCACCCAGCCACTAGTACATCCTAGGATTTTTTGCTACCCTATCACTGATCTTGCTACCAAATACCCTCAGAAAACATTTTTATTGTTGCATCACCCTTCATATTGGCTGACCGAGCTCTTTGATACTCCCTAGCTAAGGGTTTGACATATAAGACTTCTCTACCCCTATTGATGCTTAAAACTATATCTACATTGGGCAAAATGCCTTCTCATGGTTGCTGACTCTAGTTTGAAAACCTAAGCTTTGAAGACCTTTTTTGTTGTGATGTGAAGCTTTTGCTTCGTACGCAAGTCATCTACTTTCCAGAGATAAATTTTTGCTTTCTACTTGTTGGTTATTTATAAATGCACGTGAAGGGCATCTGTTGTGTTCAAAGAAGTGGCTTTTGCTTAAGTTCTTTTGCTTCTCAAGCAGGATAATCTTACCGAGAGGATGATTGGAACTGGTAGAGCCAGGATATTAGAGTCCAACAGCAATTTTCAAGTAAGAGGCCATTCTATACATCACCATTCATGTTAGGCGTGTCTAATATCAATGCACCAACTTAAGGGAGAGTATGGAAGTTAGCATAAGTGATTCTATAAATATTTACTTCTAGCTTATATCCTGGTCCAGTTAGGAATCAATACTTTTTTTTATTTTTCCTTTTCCTTTCATAGATAAGATCCGGATTGGATCTTGTACTAATAACCCTTTGAGTTTGATGAATAACACGAGAAAATCAGCCTAAATTTCAAGTGAAACCACTGCCTCTTTAGTTAATATGCACATACAAAATTCGGTTCTCAATACTTTGCATATCTAATCATATCGCAGATGTAAGGTAAAAACACCGTTAGTTACTCAGTTTATAATGAAGTTACATGTTAGTCACCTTAAGTGCATTTTTTTTTTCAAAGTAGTTATGGTAGTTTTCTTTTTGGTTTCAGTTTATTCATTCAATCAAAAATTCGTTACTTTTTCTAACAGAATGTTCGACTTGAAAGACTTCGAGGTTGAAGCAAATCAGATTGTCATCTTTCAAGTCTCACATTCCGTAGAAACTAGAAATCATTTTAACAAGGTGATTGAATTGAAAACAAAGCAAACTTGCAAATCACTTTGGAACAAAATAAATTTCACGGATTAACAAACGTAGAACTTCCTTACGATTTGAGTGACTAACAGTCACTACAACAAAAATAGCCTTTGCAACATGCAAAAGGCAATATTTGTTGATTAAATATTGTTAAAGATGTCTATCGCAACATTTTAGGATGTGAATGTTGCTATTGGCTAACATAATTAAACTTTCGCAACATTTTTTAAATAAATATTGCTAATGCCGCATTTTTCAACGTTTTATAAATGTTGCGAAAAATTTAAGTTTTTGCAATCTTTTTTGAACGTTGTTGAAATTTGGTTCTATAGCAATGTTCATGGTTTGTTGTTGAAACTCTCAATATAAAGCTTTTTGCAATATTTATTAACTGTTGCGAAACGAACACTTTCGGCAATGTTTTTTAAACGTTGCCAAAAGTGATCTTTTCGTAACAATCAATAAACGTCACGAAAAAATCATTTTTGGCAACGTTTAAAAAACGTTGCAAAAAAATCACTTTTGGTTAAACGTTGCGAAAATTTTTATATTTTTTCCCAAATTAAATTATATATGGCTAGAAATCAAAAATATCCCGAACCCTAAACTAATTCATGTCCATTCATTCCTCTCCAATAAAATCAAGAATCTTTCATCTAGGGTGACATGGGTTGAATTTTGATTCGAATCCAATCTGAATCCGACGAAATTAATTGGAGATGGATTTAGGGTCTCAATCCAATAACCCGATCAAGATCCGAATCCTATAATCCGTTAACTAAATAGATCAAATATGGATATAGATCAATCCGATCCAATTTGTTATAAATAATTGAGTCGGTAAAATATTTTTATGAAATATTATTTGTCTCTAAAATAAATAAATTTAGAATAAATCAAATTCAAAACATAAAAAAAAAATGAAAATTTTATAAATATTAAACATGTGTAAGAATTGGAAAATTTGAAAAAAAAAAAATTGATTTAAACAAATTTTTTAAAAATCGATTCGGGCATCGACCTGAAAAAGGAAGAGGGTCAAGGGTCAAAAAGTCGAACTATAAATGTAATATATTATAAAAATATCAGTTTTTTTTTTTAAATTTTAGTTTACTAATTTAAAGTAAATAATTATCTATATTTTTCTAATTTTTATTTATTATTGTAATTTATTTTACAATTTCAAAAACTAATAATTAATATGTAACGAATAAATTAATTTGTTAATGGAAATTCAATTTTACCTTATCCCACATCGAATGTCAATAGAAAATTAGAAGATGATCTCTTCTTTAAAAAAGAACATCATGATGGTATTAGTAAAAATAGGTGGGCCTCAAGTTAGATCATTTTTTTTTCAACATTGATTTTTTTCCTAATTTTTATTAATTTCGAATCAGATTATCGAATATGGATTCAACAATCAAATATTCGTTGGATTATCGGATCGGATCGGATATAGGCATATCCGATCCATTTACAGCCCCTACTTTCATCTATTGACCTATTCTCTCCAGTTTGGCTGATCGTTGCCGCCACGGGAGGATTCCAAAAAGGAAGAGACCGTCGCCGACACCGGAGGACGCCAAGAAGTAAGAAAAGTGGTGGTCTTCACAAGGCTTCGATTAAAGTTGTTGAGATTTTAACGGCTATGGCGATTCCTGTGGAGTTATCGGATCATGATTCACTGATTAAGTCAACCTCTACTTCTTTGAATTCCAAGGTTGTGTCTCAATACTCTTCTCTTTTAGCCTCATTAGCTGTTGATGCTGTGCTTTCTGTAGTAGACCCTGCCAAGCCTGATTTAGTAGACTTAAAAGATATTAAGATTGTGAAGAAATTAGGGATAGAGAACACTGATTTGTGCAATCAACAAACCCAAATAGATGTTTTGTGTTTTCTATTTGGGTATTTAAATTTCTGTGGTTAATCCATTTAAAAATAATAAATGTGCGAATTTTTCAGTTCAATGTTCTTGAAAAATGTCGATTACAAAACGAGTAAAAAGTTTGAATACTCACCGAACTTACCACAATGTCACGTTGTAGTCAATGAACTTTCTTTTGCTGTCCAACGATCACTGAACTTACAAACTACACACTCCATCCATCACCCACGTCCCAGCCGTTTGAAAGAGTCTGAGGTGGCTTGACGGCAGTCCACATGGCAATCGACGGCGTCAAACTCGGCCATGGTGGACACGATTTCAAATGAAAAACACGATTCCACTCCTTTTCTCCCTAACTCCATTTCTAAGATGCCCTAGATCGATTTCCCCCAATTCGATTCTTCCACATTGGGCGATTGGATTGGCATCGAATTCAGAGAAAGACGATCAGATTTATGGTAATCTGAAGGAAATGAGAGATGCCCATGTATCAAATTCAGACCTCAACATGGAATCTTGGCAAAGAAACGAGTGAAAGGAAGTGATGAATGGCTCTGATGAGGCTGTTGGGTCGCCTGTAGCTGCAGCTCTTCCTCGTGAAGAGCAAATTAGAGCTACTGAAGTATCCAGGAGAATCATTGAGGCCTCGAAAAGAAATTACTTGAAGTTGTGTGAACTGTGAAGCATCTGTCAACCTTATGAATGCTTTGATTGAGAGCTGTGTAAAGTCTTCTGCAGCAAATTTATTTGTGTCACTTGAGGATGATATTGGAATGAATCTATTTGCTAGTGTAGCTATTGGAGATATGTCCAGATTTGACTTGGTCTCGTGTACTGATTCTCCAGAAAGAAGCGCCCCTATAATTGATGAAATTTTCACGCACGATCATGCAAAGTCGAAGTTATCTCCTGACAGTCAAATAGCTGGAGACCGAAGTCTGTGTTCTAATGTAGTTGATGGCGATAGCAAATATCCGGGTATAGCTAGCAATTCATCGTCTGAAAATGGATTGCATATTTCTAAACATGCATCCCTTGAGCACTTTAGTGAAAGAAGATGTTCTTCATCTCATGCTAATGAAGATTTGCTGATCACAGAATGCATTGAACCTCTCAACTTGGCCTATATGGATTTGAGAACCAGTGCAGATCCTCATGGAGATATCAGTGAAAAGTCTAGTGAAATGAAGAGTTCTGCTTCTTTGATGCTATCAGGCCTGATGGAGAAGATGAGAGATGGTGAATTAAGTAAATAAGCTCTTGAGGCTAAGAGTACCAGTTTGCAGCCTCCTCAAACAAAAGTAGACACTGGCCAGCGTATCATACTTAACAAGGTAGTGCCGTAGTGGAATTCACTTCAAATTCAACATCCAATTTATTCAATAACATGGGCCAGCTGTTCAACACATTTTATATGCTACCAGCTTCAACACAAATCTCATTCAAAGGAAGTTACGTTACAGAATAAATTAATTTACCTTGGTCTTCAGTTCGGTGGGATGGTGTGCACAATTAGTTCGGTTTAGGTGTTCTGGGACGACGAAGACAGGCAGAAGCGGCTGGTGTTGCTGTAAAGGAGATGAAATTCTGCAAAGTGTTCACCGAATCGATTTGGGGGAGGGTTTTGGAGGAGCGTGTGGGAAGAATTAGGGCAATCAATTTTCGAATTGGGGCTTGGCTTATGGATGGGCAATGTCCGGGAGTCATGTCTTTATGTTAAAAACGCGTCCACCATGGCTGGAATTGACGCCGTCGACGGCCACCTCGACTGCCGTCTAGCCACGTGGGACAGGTTCAAAAAGCCGGAGAGAGAGGTGATGGATGGAGCGGTGTTTTTGTAAGTTCAGTGATTGTTGAGCAACAAAGTAAAGTTTAGTGACCACAACATGACAGTGTGATAAGTTCAGTGACTAATGAAAGTTTTTACTCATTAGAAAACTGGCATCTTGAAGTGAGCATTGTATTTCGACTTAGCCATTTATCAGATGTCCAGCCCAGAACAAGGTTAGAGATTCCATACGAATCAAGCTTTCCATATCCAAAATTTGAGAATTAAGATTCCAACTATTGCTAACATTTTGTATAGCCTTTGAAGCCTCTATTACGACAACATGCATATCATTAAAATTCTTTTAGCATTATACTTCTTAGTGTTATCAAATAGCAAAAGATAGATCATTGGTATGTTAAGAATAATTCATAACTTCTGATGATATTGCCAAAAGATACATAATGATAAATTTGGAATTATGGTAAGAAGTAGAGGTGTCAAGACGGACGGGCCGGCCATGACCCGTGAAAACCGGGACCGCGGGCCGATCCGTGACCCGTGCGGGCCGTTCACGGGCCAAGGAGGTGTAACCCGCGGGCTTCGAGGGTTGCACCCCCACGGGTCGCGGGTTATAAAAAAAATTGAAAAAAAAAA